AGAATTGCTGCTGTTAGGTTGCAAACATACCAGACCCTATTTCTTAAGGCAGAATCACTAATTTGAGGTCTCAAGCAGATCTGGATGGAGATCCTTGGGAACACCAGCCTGTTCAGCACAGCTTTCTGTATTAGCACCTTGAGCCCATTAAGAAATTTTTATTTCTCCCAATGAGAAAATGAAACTACTGAGATTTAATGACCAATCTTCTAGATTGGCAAGTTGGGTTCATTCATTAAAGTGATTCATTAAACTGATACGTTATGCACATTTAGCATCGGGGCTGAGAAGAGATCAGCAAAACATACCATCTTAGATGCCAATTTCCAATATACTGAACTGGGGTTATTTTCACACTCAGTCCATTTTGGACAAGATTCATAATTGATTCCTAAAAGAAAGATGTTCCGACATAAATATAATGTGGAAAAGTTATAAAAGGCAGGATGAGATATATTAATATTTAATGTTACACTCCTGTTATAAATGGCCTCTGGGATCCATCAGGGTTCTCTTTTATCCTTAAACTGGAAAGCATGCTTTGTTTAAAAAGCATTTGTAGATAAATAAAAGCTGTATTTTCACTGATATTTTCAGTGAAATAACCCTTTTAGTTTCATGGGGTCCATTCTCTTTCCAGTCATTTTTTTAAAGAGACAAATACTGTACAATTTCTCTCCCCTCCCCCTCCCTCTCCCTCCAACCAAGTATTCAGGTAAGAATTCTGCTTTTTTTACCTGAACCAGAGGGATTTCCACACCAAGTAATCCCATCGGCTATGTAGCCTAGCAAAGTATCTTCCAAGGTAAGGAAATTATGATTTGTTTTCGTGTAATGATGTGCCAGATCATTTGTTTTGCTCCAAAATAAGGACTGCAAGTAAGATGAACAAGCATTTGTTATTTTTCAGCATTAACTGAATTATTTTTATATGCTCACGCTCCTTTTAAAAATCTTATGCATTGACTGAGCTTTTCCAAAATTTGTTTCTGCTGTTTATTTAAAAACTTGAAAAAGAGTAGAATTTTTCTTCCAAAATTGTCATGGGAAAAATGTTCTTTAAAAAACAACATGCCCATTTCTAAGATAAATAGATGTATCAATAAATATGCTGGATCCATAGCTCTTGGCATTTTCCCCTGTACGTTTCTTCTGTCAACTTTGAAACAGACTCATGAGTGGGTGGATTCTTGGCAAAATACTTGGGGGAATGTGAAACGAACACTGGAGACTCAGAAAGTGCAAGGAGATAACAGAAACCATTTCACATAGGAGAGAAAGTGTGTTTATCCACCAAGTATCTGAAACTGAAACTGCCCTACCGAAAGCTTTTTCCCCATTGTAAAAATCATTGGACAATAAGACCTGTGACAAGGAGGGAGGGGAACATCTATTCTTTAGTTATACAAAAATCACGGGAAATAGAGTTGGTTTTGCTTCCATGCATGGCAAAATGATGTACTCAACAGTTCTTTGAGAAGTCTGATGATCTCAGAGTGCTGACTTGGTTGGATTCCTCAGTTGGAACCTTGACATTTTCCTAACTATTGCACATATACTGCATTTCACCAGAGATTGCAAATGTTCCCATATATACTTCTTAGGAGTACATTTAGGATATTTTGCTGGCTGAGTTGAAAATCACTGGTGTTCTATAGAAGCTGATGATCTAATGCTAAGACACATATTTCAACAATTTACAAAAGAGTCCATTGGATTTGGGCAAGATGGTGGCTGCAATGGAAAGTTGCACACGAATATAAAAACCAGGTTGGACTTTGACTGCGCATCACAATCACTCTGATAAAGTACTTTCACATCTATCAGATATTTGTGAATAATGGACAGCTCCTTCTTTTAATTAGTTCTTGAAAAACAAATCCATTTAATGTATTTTTCTGAAGCCAAATCAAACTGGGAACTCCAGATGTAACCCTTTCTCTGGAAATCCCTTGGCCCAACACACCTTGTTGCATGGTATGGAATATCTTGCCAGGTCCATTAAAGGCTGGTAATCTTCTTTGGTCGCATTGCATGGGTCCTTGTACCGAAAAGCCTGTTCAAATAGTTTCCGTACTCTGAAGCAATCTTTATTTCTGCAGAGAGAGAGAAACATGGAGTTTTAAAAAATGGCTGCAACGTAGCTTCATTGTTGATAAATCACAATGGTATCAAATGTCTGTGTCAAAGACAGATGATTGAAGGGCCCGTTCTTCTGATCCCAATGTTGTCATCATCGTCACCATCATCAATTGACCTCTCAGATTTTATTTATAAAATGCTTCATCCTTGGAATATGTTAGGAAGCAAATATAGAATTTATCAGCAACTTATTAAACAGCTGCATCTTTATTTGGTATCACATATTTACTTCACGTTCACAGGAATCAAATCAATCAAAGTTACATTATAAATGAAGTCTGTGTCAAAATCTCCCTCCCTCTAAAAAATGTCAAAATCCACCAACATCCTGGTATGATTATTCTGGGCATTTTCTTGCACTTCAGAGGCCTAGATTAGAAATAACAGTACTGGTGGGATATTGAGACCAAAGTAATAGGAAAACAGCATTGGAAGTTACCTTGGAGGTCTTCTAGCCCAACTCCTTGCTCAAACAGTAGTTCCTATGGACTGTCCAATCTTCATACAATGGACTGTCCAATCTCTTCAAAACTTCCAGTGACAGAGTACCTACAACTTCTGAAGGCAAGCTATTCTAGTGATTAATTGTTCTCGCTCTTAGGAAATTTCTCCTTAATTCTAGGTTGCTTCTCTCCCTGATTAGTTTCCATTCATTGCTTCATGTCCTGCCTTCAGGTGCTTTGGAGAATAGCTTGACTCCCCTCTTTTCTGTGGCAGCCCCTCAAATATTGGAATGCTGCTATCGTGTCACATCTAGTCCTTGTTTTCACCAGACACACCCAATTCCTGTCTCTTGAAATCTGCTAAATCTGGCAGATTTCACAGAAGGACAGTGAAACATCTCTAGGTTACAGAAACCAAAGTAACTACTATAATGAAGGACTGGTGCTTAGAAGGCTTGACAACAAAGTTGCTTTACTGCAGACCGCAGAAATCATGCCTAGATATAACAACCTCAAAGTTTAAATCAAATATTCTATCGAACTTCATGTAAAGAGGTCCATAAATGATTTGCTAAACTAGCCTCAATTTCAGGGGATTGATAACTCTGCTCTATATACCGTGTCCCCCCCAAAATAAAACTGGGCTTATTTTCTTTTGAGCCCCCAAATAAGCCCCAGGTCTTATTTGGGGGGCATATCTTACCTGCTTACCTTAGGATCACCACAGCCAGGCTTCCCATGCCCCAACACCTGACTTCTTCTGCAGCCTCTCGTGGCTGCTTGTGGCCAGATACCACATGGCTTGCCGTGCCAGGGCCACCACTCATGGCAGGAGGTGTGCCATTGTGTGTGCGAGCAACAGCACTAGCAAAATGTGCCACATGGTGTCCTGCCATGAGCGGTGGCACCAGCGTGACAAGCCACATGGCATCCTGCCATGAGCATCCACAAGCAGCCACAGAAGTTGGCACAACAGGTGTCAGGGTGTGGAATACCTGCAGAACTTTATAAAAAATATACAAAAGCCATTGGAGACAACTATGATAGAGTATATAACGAAGCACTGGCAGAAGTGAAATTATCCAAAACTTGTCGGAAGCGTATGTAGCATTAATCCCAAAAGCAGAGACAAATCACCAACAAATAAAGAATTATAGGCCTATTTCATTACTGAATACTGATTATAAAATATTTGCATCCATAATGGCGAAAAGGCTAAAAAAGTTGTTAAATGATTTGATACATCCAGATCCTAGAACTAGCTGCCTTCCGTCTGATCTAAGTATAGTATATAAAATCATACATTGCAATGTCCTACCTGTCAATGAATCCTTCAGCTTCAACCATAACAACACAAGAGCAAACAATAGATACAAACTCAAGGTTAACCGCACCAAACTTGATTGCAGGAAATACGACTTCAGCAACAGAGTGGTCAATGTCTGGAATACTCTACCTGACTCTGTGGTTTTTTCCCCACACCCCAAAAACTTTAACCTTAGACTGTCTACTTTTGACCTCACCCCTTTCCTAAGAGGTCTGTAGGGGGCGTGCATAAGCGCACCAACGTGCCTACCGTCCCTGTCCTATTGTTTCTTTTATATATTTTTTATTTTTCTTATGTATTCTTAACTATGTTTTACTTATACCTATTATCTTGTAAGCAATTGACAAATAAAAATAAATAAATAAAATAAATAAATAAAATGGATTTCTACCAAAAAGACATGAAAAATAATTTGAGAATGATTATAAGCATACTATATATAATAATACATATTATGAAGTACATTCTGGAAAACAATTAGCACTGATGTTTCTAGATGCGCAAAAGGCTTTTGATAATTTGAATTGGCAGTTTATTACAAAACAATTAGAAATTATGAATTTTGGAGAGCAATTGGTAAGAATGGTACTAGCAATATATTCCACACAAATGGCAAAAGTAATAATAAATGGAGAGTTAACCGAACAATTTCAAATATCGAAGGGAATAAGGCAAGGATGTCTGCTATCACCATTGTTGTTTGTCCTGACTTTAGAAGTGTTACTTGGACAGATGAGAGGGGAGCAAGAAATAAAAGGTCTCAAAATGAAAAAAAGAGGAATATAAAGTCCAAGATTTTGCAGATGATTTGGTATTTGTGCTTGAGGAACCATTAGAATCAGGACCCAAATTAATTCGGAAAATAGAATTTGAAAAAGTGGCAGGTCTTAAAATAAATAAAAATAAGATAAAGATTATAACAAAAAATCTTACTGAGAAACGAACAAAGAACTGGAAGAAAAATTGTCAAATGCAAATTGTCAAAAAAGTTAAATATTTAGGAATATGGCTAACAGCAAAAAGTATATCTATTAAAGAAGATAATTATATAAAATTGATAACACAAATTATGACGGATTTGGATAACTGGAAGAAATTACAACTCTCCCTTATAGGACAAATTGCCGCAATAAAAATGAACATATTGCCAAAAATTCTTTTTCTGTTCCCAGTGACACGGATAAAGTTAGGAAAGAAATTTTTTGAGGATTTAAACAATTTTGTAAGAACCGGTTCTGTGGGCGTAGCTAGGTGAATTTGAAAAGTGAACATGTGAAATTATGATTCAGTGATCCAGGACTTTTGGATATAATGTGATGCTTGAACAATGGAAAAATATGTGGATGAAAGGTTTACAATTTACACTCATCTCCCAGCCCAATCTCAATTACAAAATCTGTGGGTCAATGGGGTGGGAGTGTGTCTGATTCCTTCTTGCTAAAAACCTAGGCTAAGTCATGGTGTTCCTTTGGAATTGGTGGCTCTAAACCACGGCTTCCTCCAGTATCTCAGCAGGTTCCACTTTCGCCTCTCTGCAGGTTATGACAGACTCTCCACACTTTCAGGAACCCTTGCTCAAGGTCAGTGGCTGTTCTCCACATCCACCACTTATTTTTGTCCATGGAGGGGTTCCATTTTTTTCAACCACACTAACCCTAGGACCATTGCTTCTGTCATCTAATGGGCTATGATAAATCGGATAGTCTCTATCTCCAGCTAGCCTAAATGAAATGAAATTTAATTCAGTTCAATTCACTGATTAATAGTTCCCACTGTCAGGAAATTTTTCCTTAATTCTAGGCTGGATCTTTCTTTAATGATCTGCCCTTAAGTGCCTCCAAAAGTTGAAGGTGTTCTATCACTGGAGGTTTTCAAGAAGAGATTGAACACCTGTTTGTCCAGAATGGTACAGTCTTCTAGTCCAGGGGTTGCCACCTTTTGGACCGCAGGGATCACCAAACTCATAATTTTAAATCCTGCAAATCACAGACCCTGGGAAAATCCCCCAAAAAGTCTGCAAGAAAATTCCCCACCCCGTTTTCCTACCAATCGATCATTCTTTATTTGGGATCGCAGGATACTGTCTCCAGCTCCGTTCTCAGGGAGACAGAGACAGAGAGAGACTTTTAGCTTCATGCAAGGAAAGCAGCAGAAGCAGCAGAAGTCTTTATTTCTCTCCCCCAAACTCCGCCAGAAATGAGTCTTTGTGAGACTTGTCGCACCGGTGCAGCCTCTTGGAGCAGGATGCCTTGCAGGGGCACAAAGACTCATTTCTGGCAGAGTTTGGGGGAGAGAGAAAGACTTTTGCTGCTTTCCTTGTGTGCAGCCAAAAGCAGAAGAAGAAAGAAGTAGAAAGAAGCAGCCCAGTTGCCAGGCCAGGTGCGTGGGGCGAGTGAGGCAAGTTCCCCTCCTCCGCCCTTTCCCCTCGTCTCTCACTACCTCATGTTGTTCACAATGCAAGCCTTGTGTTCCCATGGGCCATGTGGGCGGCACAGCCTTGTGTTTCCGTGCAGCCTGGATTAATTGCTTGGGGGTGTGTGCTTTGGGGGTAACATTTCTCTGCGGACCACCAAAATTTTCTCACAGACCACCAGTGGTCCCCAGCACACTGGTTGGTGACCACTGTTCTAGTCAAGCAGGGGATTGGACTAGAAGACCTCCAAGGTCTCTTCCAACTGTTACTCTAGGTTTTAAGCTCTAAAGGTGTCATTAATTAATTGTGATGACCATTAAGGTCATCAGGTCAGAGGAAGAATAAGCATAATCATGTTGGATAAGGACATGGTACTAGTGATTATATTGCTACTTCTCTTTGACCCCTAAAGAATCAGTTTTTGGCTGTTTCAGCAAGGTTTTCTTTTCTTTTTAAGCAGAACTAGAAATGCCATGATTTTAGTATCTTTACACCGGGAAATGTATTTTCTGTAACTCTTCCAGGTGCAGTTTCAAATAATTTAACAAACCCATTCTTAGTCCCAAACACATCATGACATCACAAATACATTGAACTAGACTTATATATATTTTTTTACCTTTTTTACCTTTATTGAAAATGTAAAACATTAAAATACAAAATACAATAGAAATATTTAAAATGAAAATGTTGTGTATATTTACAATCCATTTTGACAGTGCTTACATTTCAATTATAATTCCAGTGCATATTTTATACTCCTATTTGTTCTTATGTATATACCTCTATATTTCAAAATTATACAT